CCCCAAAACCCCAAAACCCCAAAACCCCAAAACCCCTTACATAAAATTAATTTTTGAAATATTAGTATAAATGTCCCATTTGGAAGACAATAACCTTAATGATCCTACTTCTGATGAAGCCGAGATCGAGAGTAAGTAATTGGGGTTAAGGATGGGGGTTGAGGCCTAAGGGGTGTTTGGAGGGGGATTAATGGTTTTATAGACAAATTTGAGAAAGCAGATGAGCTTTTAGTTATTAAGAAAAATTATCAAGATGCGATGAAGCTATATGATGAGATTTTGAACAAAGATCCTGATAATATTGATGCTCTTAGTAGTAAAGCTCAATGTTTGCAAAAGATTGATCCCAATGCGTTTCCGAAAGCCTTGAAACTCTATGAAAAAGCATTACAGTTAGATGATAAGGACTTTGAGACAAACTTTAACATCGGAATTCTATACTATCAAAGAAAGGACAGTGAAGACATGGATAAAGCCCTGCAATACCTCAAGAAAGCTAATGAGCTTGATTCCTCAAATAAAATTGTACTCTATGACATTGCTGTCATCCATGAAGAGAAAAAGGAGTACCCACAAGCTGAAGACTATTACAGGAAACTACTCAAGATTGAAAGCAAAAATGCTAGAGTGTTAGTAAATTTGGGGGTCTGATTGGATAAAATGAAGAAGTACACTGATGCTCAAAGTATCTACGAAGAAGCAATAAAAGCTAATGATGAAGACCCTAAGGTTTATAACAACCTTGCTGTTAATTTGAAGAAGCAAGGGAAGCTCAATGAATCCTTAGATTGATACAAATAAAGCTCTTGAATTAAACCCTGAAAATCCAAATTATCTCTATAACTGTGGGCTATTACACTCTGCTCGTGATGAACTAGACGATGCCCAGATACTTCTAGAAGACTCTATAAAATATAACGACAGATACCCATTCTCTTATCTCGCTTTAGGGGATGTTTTTGAGAAAAAGGATATGCCTGAAGAAGCTATAGATACCTACAAATAGGCTACAAGAGATCAAACCTGATTTCAAAGACTTGGATAAGAAAATCGCATACCTTGAGTCCATCCTTAACCTCAAGAAGGAGAGAGAAGCTAAAGAAGAACAACAACGAGAGCTTGAGAAAGAGAAGGAAGAAAAGCGCAAACTCAAAGAAGAGCAAGAGCAAAAAGAGAAAGAACTAAAAGAGCAAAAAGAAAAGGAAAGACTCCTTGAAGAACAAAAACAGAATGAAGATCAAAAGAAAAAGGAAGATGAATTAAAACAAAAAGAACTGGAAAAACAGAAAGAAAAGAAAAAGCAAGAAGAGAAAAAGAAACAACAAGAAGCCAAAGTCCCAATTGGAAAGAAGAAAGATGAAGAAATGAAAGAAGATATACAAAAAGAGACTAAAAAGGAGACCACAAAATCTAACAAAGAGGGAAAGAAAGTAGAAAGTAAGAACAAGGCTAAAAATGATAAAGAGCAAGAGAGTAAAAAGAAGAATGAAAAATCAAAAGAAGAAACCAAAAAGCCTTCAGCTGTTGCTCAAGTAAAAGGATCCCCGAAAAAGCAGAAGATTGATGATAAAAAGACTAAAGAGAATAGTAAAAAGATCAAAGAAACTCCAAAGAAAGCAAAAGAACCATCAAAGAAAGTAAAAGAAACTCCTGCCAAGCCTAAAGAAGAGTCAAACAAACTGAGAGAATCTACAAAGAAAGAGTCTAAATCCTCTAAAATCGAAAAATCAGAGCCTCAACCAGAGCCCTCCCATAAAGAGCCTGGCAAAAACACCTCTGCAAAAATAGTTGCTGACTCGTCGGAAAAGAAAAAGCCAATCGAAGAGACTAAGCAATCTGAAAAGTCTAATGAGCCTACTAAGACCTCTAAAAATGTAGATGCTCAACCTAAAGAATCCAAGAAAACCAAAGAAGAGAAACCAAAGGCTGTCAAAGAAGAAGATACTAAAAAGAGTGACAGCAAGAAAAAGATAGCTCCAGTAGAGACAGATACTAAAGTTGTCAAAAAGAAAGAGCCTAAAGAAGAAACGAAGAAGGCAAAGGAAGATCCTAAAGAAGTCAAGAAAAAGGTAAAAGAACAACCAAAAGAAACTCCTAAGCCAGCTAAAGAAAAGGCTGAGCCTAAAGAAGAGAATGTGACAGTAGTAGTTGCTCCTAAAGTCGAAAAAGAGCCCAAAGCTATTAAGAAGGAAATAATTTCAGATAAAAATGCACCAAAAGAGGTATGTCTTCCTGAAATAATGCACAAACATCAAAAATGTTTATTTGTTCTTCTATAGGTAAAGAAAACTTCAAAAGAGTCTAAGCAAAAACAATCAGAGACTAAGCTAAAGGAAGAAGAGCCTAAAAAGACTAAGAAAGAATCTAAAACAAAGGTTATGGAAGAAGAAAAGAAAGAGAAACTCAAAGAAGAGAAGAAGGGTAAATCTAAGGAAGTGAAACAGACTAAGCCTGAACAAGAAAAACAGAAGCCTAAAATAGTAACAAATGAGACCAAGAAGGGCAAGACAGATTTTAATAAAGTGTTAGCCTCGAATGTGAAGAACTCCAAAGAGGAAGGAAAGAAGATGGAAGAAGTTAAAATCATTGACGTTAAAAGACAAGCTGCTAATAAAACTGCTGGCTCAGCTTATACAAGTGAGAGTGGGTTCAAATCCAAAGGGAATTCTCTAGAAGTTGATGAAGACCAAGATGAAGATCGTTTCACCCACCAAGAAAATGAAGCAGATGAGCAAGAATATGCTGGAAATGATGACGAATCTCTGAGTGATATCAAAAGACTCAGAAAAGCAGATACTAAGCAAGAGTACATGTTTTGGGATAGAGATAGATGAGAAGAAGAACTCTCAGAAGACCCTGAAAATATTCAAGCTCTCTTCAAACTTGGGCTAATCTCAATGGAAGAAGACAAGATTATAGAAGCGAGAGAATACTTCAAAGATAAATGTCTCAAAATTAACCATAATTTCAGGAATGGAGAAATTTATGAAAGAATCGGAGACACACATTTGATGGAAAATCAACTAGAAGTCTCTGTTCCTCTCAGTTATTACAAACAAGCAGCTAAAATTGATAGCAAGAATTACATGTTTGCCTGCAAGCAAGGCAAATGTTATGAAAAGCTTCGAAACTTCGATGAGGCAATTGACTGATATAAATTATCAGCAAAATTAAGCAAGAACAAAGTTTCTCTTCCTTTGCTGAAGCTTGGATGGGTCTTCGTCAGAACAAAACAATACGAAGAAGGTGTAGAAACTTTGAAAATAGCAATTCAGATCGAACCAGAGAATTCTGAAGTTCTGACAAAGATTGGAGAGGTTCTACTTCGAGATGACACGAAACTAGATGAAGCTGAAGGTTTTTTGAAAAAGGCTCTTGCTTTGAATCCTGAGCAAAATGATGCTATCGTGGCTCTTGGAAGAATCTGAGAAAAGAGAGGTGAAAATGAGAATGCAATGCAAATGTATGAGAAAGCTCTCAAATTCCCCGGGAATCATGTTCATACATACTTTTATCTTGGAGTCTTGAATGAAAAGTTACAAAGATATAAAAAGGCTATCAATCATTTCAAGAATTGTCTGAATCTAGACAATGCTCATTTCTACTCCACAATGCATCTGGCAACATTACTTTTGAATGCTGGAGAAGTTCAAAGAGCGAAGAAGTACTACAAGCATGCGCTAAAAATTGATCCAGAAAGCATAGATGCCCATTTCTCTCTAGGAAGACTTATCCAGAACAGTCACGAAGACTCAGAAGATGCTCTTGAATATTACAACTATGTGCTTGAAAAAGACCCAAATCATTATAAAGTAATGTGTCAGCTAGGAATTCTCTATTGTGAAAAGAATGATGCGAAGCGAGCAATTCAATATTTAAAGGATTGATTACAAATTCGTCCAAAATATGTTCCTGCCATCGTATCTCTTGGAAATTTATTGTTTGAAAATGGATACCCAGCCAAAGCAGCTGATTATCATTATAAAGCATTGAAACTCAATGCATATGATATTCAAGCTTTGATTGGAATGGGTAATGCTCTCTATGAAATGAAGAAACCTATAGAAGCTATTGACTACTACAATAAAGTTCTTGAAATTGATGACAGAGTTGCTGATGTTCATTACAATTTAGGAAATTCTTATTACATAATTGAGAATGTTGATGGGGCAATAAAGCATTATGAGAAAGCAATTGGGTTGAATCCTAACAAGCCAGAGAGTTTTTATAATCTTGGAAATGCACTCTGAATGAAGCAAAAATATGAAAAAGCAATCATATATTACAAAAAGGCGATAAAACTTGATGATAACAATGCTCCTGCCTATTATAATTTGGGTAATGCTTACTTCATGATGAGTGAATTCAGATATGCATTAGAAAACTATAACAAAGCACTCCAATTAAATCCTGAAAGTGCTGAATGCCATTACAATATTGCTTCTGCTTACCTTGATAATGGAGACACTGAAAAGAGCCTCTATCACTTCAAGAAAAGTTTAGAGAATGACCCAAATAATCCAGAAATTCATCTCAATATTGCAAATCTCCTTGAACAAAAAGGAGAGAAATCTGATGCTTATGAGTCATTCAAGCAAGCCCTCAATCTAAATGACAACAGTGCTAAAGCACTTGAAGGCCTAAAGAGGCTGTCAGATTTTGAAGAAGAGAAAATATCTAGGTAAAGCCATGACTAATCTTGACAAAATCAGCCATTAATATAGTATTTTCTTCTGCAATTATCAATAGTTTGAATTGCAATAGGGGTTTTGGGGTTTTGGGGTTTTGGGGTTTTGGGG